AACAGAAACCCACACTCATTGGTTTGAATAAGCAATTAAAGCTCCCTGGTGTTCTGACAATGGCTGCTTTTCATTGCGCTAACTTATCCTCCCTCGTATCCTTCTCCTCTTGTATAATAATAGTAGATGAGATGATTACTCGATAGATAATTGCCCCTATTATAGAGGATTTTCTGAAAATACTAAAACCCAGCTCAGAGAGAAAGGAGGCTTTGGAAGGGGCATAGAGCGAGAAAACACGGGCGTAAAGGGGTGTAAATGCAGAACCTCTGCTTGATTTGACAGGCGATGCAGGTTTGCAGCACATAATATGTGACTGGTGTCGCATAAGACTGATTCTATGGAACCACGGAGTTCTAATTTTGCAGCTTTGGCTCCAAAGCCAGGAGGCATAATGAAAAGCACCCTATGTCTCTGTGGTGGAGGCTCCATTTTGAGATTAGTCTTGTTGATCATCTCAGAACAAGGCCTTCTGTGTCAAGCTGGTTAAGGAATGAGATAACTCCCGATAATCCATAAGATCCACTGTCGTTCCTAGAAGTCGTGTAGGTAGCGTTTGTTCAAGTGCGCAGACGTGCATGTGCGCGTTAGCGATACCTCGCCGATCCCTTGTCGGGCACGTGTTTGTTTGCGTGGAGTCGCCCTCATCACAAGCGATCGGCGGGGACGTTGGGGACGAGGCGAGCCTGTAACGGGAGCAGCGAGGCGCTCGAAGCTCCGTGCTGTTTGCAGGTCGACCAGCCGCAGTACACCCAGAGGAAATCTCATGTTCCTGCCAGCCTACAAAAGTAAACAGATCTGTAACCACCGAGGCCTGGCACCGGGCCTGGGCCACCAGCGCTATAACTAAAGGAATGAATCACATAACACACACACACACACATTCACTGCCTGGAATGAAGCTGCATTCAGACTTTTAGATTGCAGCCCGATCATTCATGCTAAATTGAAAAACACTGATTTCGGTCCAGCTTGTATAACCACAGTGCAGTCGCTCAGCTACACGACGCACATGTCCTCTATGAGCTGTGAAGTTTATTCACCCGATTCTTTTTTTTTTTTTTTTTTTAAATGCATCTGCCCGGAAAAACTTCATTCAATATTTTCAGATAACATCTTTTAGCCACAGAGTTTTGAAACCTTTCCCCGTCTCTTTTATGTTCCTGTTTCTCTCTCCTCTGTTTTCCCTTCTCCCCCCGCTTTCTCCTCCGTCTACACATCTGCGGTTATTTATCTGTTATTCTGTGGCAGCAATGTGGTCAACATGTGTCTGGCTTCCCTCCACACAGCACTCATCTGTAGTCAACTTAGGGAATCACTGGAGGACCACGGTTAGACCAAGCTCCTTATCGCTGGTTCCGCAGCGGATACTCACCATAGATGGGTTTCTAAGTATCTCCTTGACTCTGCACATAACATCAGTACATCCTCCGCTAATTGTGGCTCACTTTTGACCTAATGTTCTGTTGCAAATGCAAAGCCATGCTTTTTTTTTTTTAACCTCTACTTCTCTTGGGTCAATGGGAGCAGAAAGTAAGGATAGACATTATGACCTACTGGAATTAGAGTATGTGAGAGGACTCTTTGGATTGCCTAAGCCTATGGATTTGCATTACTCTGACCTTTGAACTTTTAATCTCAATGTTATTTAATCCTCAGGAAAGAGTACAGCCTCAGACAACAGGATGGTAGGCATAGATCAACCTAGAAACCACAGCGGAGATGGATGGCAGAGATGTTACTTAAGGCATGCGGAGGCTTAAGAGGTTAAATGTTTTTGTTTTTTTCGTTGTTGTTGTATTCTTCTATTTTCTCTTACTGCTTGAGAGGAATCCTCTGCATCATTTTCATATTCAACTTCCAGGAACTCAAAGATTTTTCTTCAAGCCAACGCCACCGCCATCCCTTTTGCTTTCATTTAAAAAAAACTTTGAGCCCAAACCACAACTGAAAATCATATTCCTGAAAAAAATGTGTCGCTCTTGTGAATCACAGCGAGGGCGGCCGCAACAAGTTTGCAAATCCTGATGCATGCATGGTTGAACAAAGCTGCGGTCGAGTCTTACAGAAAATGTTTTGACTCGAAGACGTGAGCTCGACTTATGAAGAAAACCCACACATGATGAACAGAGTAAACCGATGAAACGTTTGATGTTGTCGGGTCAAACGGCGACCGCGCGCTCCGCTACAGAGCTGCAGCTAGCCATTGTTTGCATTGTCAATTAATCTGTTTATTAGTTCCTTGACTAACTGATTGGTTGTTTGGTCTATGAAATATGGGGGAAATATGGCCATCAGTGTTTACCAAAGCCCAAGAGGATGTCTTGTTGGTCCACAACCCAAAGACACTCAGCTTATTGTCATCAAGAAGCAAACAAAAAGACACACTCTCATTCAAGAAGCTCATATTAGAGAAATTTGACCGTTTTGTTTTCTTAAAAGTTACTTCAATTGATTAATTGACTGTAGAATAGTTGGTGAGTAACTGAATAGTTGAAAGCTAATTGATTAATAGTCGCTGCTCTACTCCGCTAACATAAGCTCGGTAAATTTACCCAGTTGGTACAATTTTGTGATCCTTTACTTGAGTATTTGTGGTTGGTTTATACTTCCAATCCTCTAAATCTCAGAGCAAAATGTTGTACTTTCTCCTGCACCATATATATCTAACAACTTTAGTTAGTTTTAAGTAATCAATACAACTTAGAAATACAACACATGAGTGAAAGACTCACATGGAGACAAGTGGCTTCCAAAAAGCCCTGTCTACTCTGTGTGCACATTTCACACATCTATGAGTTGCTAACAGCTTCACCAAATAGTGATTTTTCCCGCTAAACGTCTCGCATGGTTTCATTTTGATAAATGTTTTAATCAGACAATTCCTCATTAAGAATTGAGGATTGGAGAGAGAGAAAAAAAAATCCAAAAACTGGAAACAGATTTGTGTGTCAGAAGTTTGTTTTTGCTTCTTTCCTCTCCCATTAATCATCTGATGAGCCTTCAGATTGATCTAAAACTGTATATAAAGTAGCTTAAACCAGCTCCACCTGCAGCAGCCACAACAGTAACGTGCTGCTGACACACTGATGCTTCACTAATAATCATCTAATGATGGCGCGTATAATAATATATCAATCAGAGGGACCAAACCAGAACTTTACATAGATATTTCAACTATTTTTCGCTCCTTATACTCGTGTACTTACGTAGGATTTTTCATACATGTAATAGAGTATTTTTGCTGTGCTTTTACTTGACTTAAGGATCCGCCCATGATACCTAATTACATCCTCCCATTACTGTGCTTAGGATCTGTTAAATGTAAGAAAAGGTCATTTGTATAAAAGAAGCCATCGTCTCATTACTTCTCATCAAGGCAGGCACTAACTCAACAAAACCACAAATGGTATTTACAGATTATTAAACAATTTGACTTTACAGCTTCCATCGATTCCGCTTTGAGGACAAAACTCACCACATAATGCAGGGACCTTTGGATTTGATCATTAAGGCAGTTTTTAAGGGAACACTTAAACGAATGTTTTGACATTTTGGGGAGCACGCTTGCAGTGGCGTGAGTAAATTTCTGTTAGTGAATTGCTAAGAGAGTTAACAATGACCTGATATAGGTAATATGACTTTTTTTTATATCAATCTTTTACAATTTCTAGCCCGTCAGTTCTCGTTAGAGGGATTTTTATCTGTTCATGCAGCAGAAAGCTTCTAGTTCTGTTCTTGGGTCGTTGTGTTTGCACTTCTGTTCTGAGCTCACAGATTTTCTATAATGTTTAGGTTCCGGGACTTTGAAGACTACAACAGCCTCCTGAAGTGGTAAATTGTGAAGTTTGAGGTGTATATGCTGAGGCGAACACCCTACTTTACATTTAATCCATTCAAACTTCCACTGGCTGCAACACAAACCCAAAGCATGATGGTTCCACCTCCATGCTGAACATTTGGACCCTTTTTCTTCAAACATATCTCTGTTTGTTGCAGCCAAAATGTTCTGTTTAACGTCATCATTCCACAGGACTTGTTTTCCAAACGACCTCAGCCATGTTCAGATGTTAATTTGCCAACTTCTTATGTTGGATTTTGTGAACACAGGACAGGTTGTCTTCTGATGACTCTTCCATTAAGTGTCGCACAACGATTTCTTCATCTTGTAGACCTGCAATCGACTTCCACCGTTTAACATTAGGAACTGAGGAAACAGCTCCCTAAAGACCCCTTGCTTTCCTCTTTTGCCTTCTCCTGCTTTGTGAGCATCGATTATTTTTAATTTTCAGAGTGGTGAGCAGGTGCTTAGAAGAGGCCATGGCTGTTGGGAATTCCATATTTTCTTTTTTTGTTTTTTTTTTTTACTGGAAAACAGCTATTTACAGGTAAAAATTTAAATGAACAGATATAAACTTCCTCAACTAAATACAAGTTTTCTAAAGTTTTATGGCTACATATGCAACTGAAGTACTATCTCATTAACTATGCACTAGTTTACACTGATGTCCGATGGAAGAAGTGTAGTAAAATAAACACCTAACTATGTATTTAGGGTGTTTTCTTTTCTCCAGACAACATGGAAGCAAAGTATTCCAAAGTCTCAATATTGACCTGTGCATGAAAAACCATGTTTTTTCCTGCATTGCTTGACCTTAATGCAGAAATGTTGCATAACATACCCTCAAGCCTTTTTGGAAATCAGCTCAATTTCTACTAATTTTTCACAGGAACAAAAACATTGAACCTTTTGCATGCCACCGTACCTCTTAATAAGCTAGGATCTGATTGATTTAGCCTTTTGCTGCAGACAAGGAGGTGACATGTTTGCACTTTATCCGTCTTATTGGAAAGTAAAGACACAGAAAATGCTCATAAATCAAACTGTAACCGCTCAGTTGTTGCTAAAGCGTTTCGCTCCACAGCTCTATGCTACGCTTGGCTCAACCGCGCGGTATCAAATGTGTGGAAAAATAAACGACACATTAAAAAGTCAGATGATGAATGCAAGGTCTTTATATATATTTCTTCAGTATAATTGCAACGACATATTCATAGAGCACTGCAGTACAACACGGAATGAAACACAGACACCTGTTGTCGCTGTATGACGTGGTACGAGGCAAGAGTTTCCCTTTTGTTAACGGGCGCCTTCGTTGTTCAGTCCGATTAGTGCACCGTGTTGAGTATGGAGACATTTCAAAGCTTCAGCAAACTTAAAAAATAAAGAGAACAGACAAATAAATACTGTACAACACCATATATGTAATACTAGATTCAGAAATCACAAAAAGATCATGCTTTTTTTCCTCAACAGAACACTTATATATGTATATGCACCTTCATAGAACAATGCAGCATTTCCGGCGAGTTTCCCTTCACAATAACACTGTCGTCGACAAACGGCAAAAATAAAGTGCCTTCCTTTAAAACGAAAAAAAAGAATTGGTGATTCCAGAATGCAAATGCGTGTTTGCATTTGGAGGTGGAATTCCTGAAAGAAATGTTTGGAGCAAACATCTGTAGAACCAGATTGGATGGAAAGGACACTGTTGTTGGGTTGTTTCTTGAGTGAGGTGCAGAGTTTTAACACAATTACAGCTATGAAGCTAAAACACGCTGTCAGTGGTTTAGCTTCAGCCTGTTGAAACCTATGCACCACAGTAAAAGGCGGAATATTTGGGACTAGTTTCTGTGACCGATATCCCGTGTCGTCAACTACGTGACCTCTCAGGAACTTGAGAATGAATGTCCTTTCTATCCAATCATGTTCTACGCATCAACCCAAAAGACCCTAACAGCATCCTTCTTCCACACATTGCATCGACAGTTCAGTTGTGAAGATCCCGACTGCTTTCTGAATATGCACAAAAGCATTATCTGTTCATCACTTCCAATCTGGATTACACACTCAATACACTAATCTTTACCCCAATACACAAGATCCAATAGTGCTCCGCTGTCGAGGTAAATGATGAACAAATTTGTTTGTCATGGTCAGTTAGTCCCCCTGAGAACATTGCATCTATGAGAACAATCTAATCACTCTGTTTTTTTTTTTTTCTTTTGTTTGTTTTTTTTTATCCCTACATTTGCACCGTAGAGACGTTGCAGGCTGGATTTACACAGGCACCAACAGTCTGATTTTTTTTGTTTTTTTTAATCTCTTTGGCACCCAGATCATATATTTTCCTGGCTGTGAAAGAAAAAAAAAAGTGAGGAAACACATGAAATCAATCTGTGTGACAAAACATTTGCAATCAAATGTGCTGTTCCCGCATCGTTACTGCCTAAAGGCTACTCTCGTAATCCTCGCTAGCAAGATCGATAAGGACAGGAGGATGTTTCAGATCCTTTTAGCTTAGCTGTCTGGTTGAGATCCCAAATTCCTCGATTATTTGTAGTTTAATGACTCAGAAGAACTGGCCAAAACGTTCGTTACTGTGATCTACTGATCTTCCCCTTAAATCCTTTGTAAAACCTAAAGGATTTTATATTGTAGCAGCATAGTTATTCAGGATATTCTGTTGGACTCCACGTGTTTGTTTCATCAATATAACCAGCTCGTATTCATATTATATATCAGAATGTTAAACCTACAAGAAGCACGACGAGGTTGTTTAACCATATGTTGCTATTGCCGATCATGAGCGCTCCAGGACACCATCACAAAAGCCAGTAGGTAGACATCATGCTTACACGCACCCAGGAGAGAGTACTGAATATAAAAAGAAAGAGCTTGATGTCATGCCAGATGTGTATAAGAGATTGGCAAGCGATGGGACAACACTGCATTTTTTTTCTTTTTTTTTTATATATATATAGTTTTTTTTTTTTGCCCATTCAGTTCAGTTCAGTTGAGCTGGATTTCAGGACACTCTGCCAAATCCTAACTTGAGACAACCAGACTTCATCGTTATTCCTAAACTCCCAATCACAACTGTAAATTTCCTCTGAGTCATTAATGCAGCTTTAGCGGCTGGATGTGTAGATGTAATATTTCATGACTATTAAGGTCGGCTGTCTCCTCTCAAATTAAGTTGGGCCCTCGGACTCTCTGAGTGGAAGTGGTAGTTTTGGCTGTGGTCCCTCAGTACTCCCTGGCCTCTTCCAGTTCGTCTATGAAGACGTCTTCGTGGGGGTTTTCTGGGCAGCTCAATCCGTTATTGGGCGGCCGCACCACGTGGAAGCGGCTCCAGTCTCCCTTGCACAGGATCCAAGGCAGCACGTCCACTTTGAAGTGCAGCTCGGGTGAGAACTCGGTGCTGATCAGGTTAGGCGTGCCCGCGCCTTTCCCCCTCGTGATCAGCCGCCCGCGGTCGTCGTAACAACAGTGCTGCGCTGCAAGAGTCGACGAGTCGCTGGAAAGCGCCGAGCGCATACAGCTGCGCGCCGAAGGCTTGTAGATGTCCAGGCGCTCCTTGGGGCCGCTGGCGTCGCGCCACCGGAACGGCCGGCCGCGAGTCTCGTCGTAGACGCTGACCACAGTGTACGACACCTCAGACGGGTAGGAACAGGGGCAGCTGGGCAGCTCAGACAGAACCTGGTGGAGGTATCTCTGCAGGAACTCACTCTTGCAATTCAGCCACTTCTCACAGCTGTCCACATCTGTTGGAGAGAGGACAGCAACAGCACATAAAACTGTTGTTCATGGTAGCACTGCTGATAGAATAAACAGGCATCACTTTGGAATCAGGTCTGGATCTTATGCCTGGCACTTGTAAACATGTATAACAGATTTTTATGCAAATTGTAAAGTATCATATGAGAAAGAGCGAATAGAAATGGCAAGATTCAAGTTTTGTAAACACTTTTTTGAACTTGCTTGAGGTGGTTTCCTTGACTTTTTTGAAAAAAGGGGTTTCATGGGAATTGGAAACACCTTTTCAAATAAGTTCTGACATAGTAGACATTTAACTCAAATGACTGATCTGCTGTTTCTTTTGTTAAATTTTCATCTAGACAACATGAAACATGACCAATAGAAGCTGACAGCAGAGAACTATGACAGCCTTCCAGATTAAATAGAATTCTTGAAGACTTCTCCCCATATTTCTCTCATAGATGGTACTGGGTACTATCATATAACTTGCATTTGCTAATATGTCCAATATTGCTGCCTGAAAGACGAAAAGCTAACTCCCCACCACATTGTATCAGTCCCACTATACACCTGACTGTAGCTTTGTAAAATTGCGGATTGTACCAGTTTGAGGTTAATAAAACATGGTATGATCCTTTAAACTAATAAAAGCTGTAACGGAAAACTTCTCATAAAAAGTTTTTTTTTAAAAACAACTCACCTGTCCCAAATGGCTCAGTGCCATTCTCCATCTCGAAAGGGAAAGGCTCTACCACAGTGTTGACATCACCTACAAAGAGGAGAGCGGTAGATCAGCGTGGGATTAAAACCAGCTGGCAAAACAGAACAAAAATATCCCAGTACTCTGTTGTTTTTAATTGCTAAGATGAGGGTGGAATCGCACCAGGACAAGGCTCCAGGTCACACTTGGAGGCTTCGGTCAGAGTGCAGGAGTAGCCGCAAGACTTGGTCCTTTTCTTCTCACCGTGTCCACATGTGACTGAACAGGGAGACCAGGGCGTCCACTCATCTGTGTCCTTCTCTGTGGGAGAGAAAACAAACACAATTTAGCAGTGACACAAACTCAAAAACTTCAAAACCTGGTTTACACTCCTTCAAAAACCCTTCAGCTCTGAGAATTTACATATGGCAAAAACTCTCCGAGAGGTTATGAAAGCTGATGAGATGATTACTGTAAGGGCTCTACATCATGCTTTCAGTAAAAATTAGAACTACATGATGTGCTGTATTTAACAAGCTAATAGGAAGCAGCTTCAGAGTGTTGATAGGGAGAATAAACACATGTGGAAACAACCCAGCTAATAAAAAAAAAACACGACATTTTGTTTTCGTGTGTACTTCAACAGTCTAATTCAGAACAAACTTCCAAAGTCTCCAATGACAATTTTCTCCTGGTCTAACCTTTCCCATGCAAGCCCATGTTCTTTTTAAGAAGGCTTCAGTAAAATTAGAGAGAGGGAAGCTGTGCTGTGGCTGTCCGCCTCCGCACCATGTTTCCTTGTGGTGTTAATAACACTGAAAACAAGTCTTTCTTGATTAAAGGCGAGGTGGGTGCAGAAATACCAGCCTGGGTGTAGCGAGCACCCAATTTTACTTTGTGGGCGCTGCCAGCTTGCCATGTGGCCATACGAGAATGAGGTCTCAGGAGAGTCTTAATTACAGAAGAAGCTAAGGCAGACATCCTTGATTTATGTTCACCGAGTCTTTAGATGTGACCACTTAATGGGCATTGTTGCCTTTTGCTGGCTCGTCTCTGCGTACAACAGTCAAACAGATAAAGCCTATACACTGCCATGACGGATAAGAGAGAAGGATTGGAGTGAAACATAGTTTTAGACACTTGTTACCACAATACAACAGAAGAGTTTGGTGCAACAACAACCTTCAAAAACAAACAGATCAATCATGCACACATTTGTGTCTATGGGAAATCTCTTTGAAGAATGAAAGCTTCACGCTGTGGTGAGTCCATGACTGTGCACTGATCTACAGCAGGATTCACATACGTTCTTTCGCCTCCCTCTCATTCACCATGTACACCTCACCTCTCGCTCTCTGTCATTATTTACTATTTTTACCACTGAATAAGTTGTCTGTGCAAGCTGAGACACAACACAAGTTATGCAGAGCCCTTAAAGCCCCCCAAAATTCTTGAACTCGCTCAAAAGGCCGAGCCGCAGAGGGCAGTGAGGGCCGCCAGGGTCTGAGGGGGGGCCCAAGGGGTCCTGGGGAAGGATGAAAGGGCTGGCCAAATGGCCCCTGTCATTCTGTGTTCCCAATCTGCCCTCTAATTGTCCACAAGCAGAGGGCTGTTTTGTCCCAGGGAACAGTGCCGGCCTCACGCTGCCATTAGCGAGCGCATCGGACCCATCTTCAAAAGGCAGGCCTCTGCGACCAGCACGACCAGTGTCGACTTCAAAGTACCCATAACCCACAATGTCCTCATGGTCGAGTGCTCATGCTGCCTCGCATGCTGGCACCATTTGGTTCTCTGTGACTGTGAAGACAGTTATCATGCAGCCTTTTCTAAGCCTGCTCTCCCACATTTATCCCCTTTCCCCGTCCAGACAATCCCTCATCTTTACCTCTTTTTGATGTGACAAATTCAGCGTTTCAACACTTTTGATTTACATTATTTTCTTTGGTAAAAATCTGCAGGGGAATTTTTAAAAGCCAGCTTCATGAAGTCATATCTGGAGGAGCTGTGTTTATACGGCACTACCAGCAGACAGAGAGTGTACCACTTGGCAAAACTTACCATAGTAGCTCTGCATTGGATCCCAGCCTTCGTTCCAACGAGTATCCCAGTCTCCGCCTACTCCGCTGGGTAAGGGCTCCTCGCTGCCGTAATCCAAAGAGTAATCTTCCTCCTCCTCTTCCTCGCCAGTTTCCCCCACGCCTGACCGGCTGTTGCTGTCCTCGCTGGAATCGGCGTCGGTGTAACTCCAAAACAGCGGCCAGAAAAGCTTCTTGCCTCCAAGCCAATCGACTGTGGAAGAGGGGGAGGAGGAAGAGGAGGGTAGCCAGTCTTTTTCCTTGGCCACTTCCTTCTCTACCTCCATCTGAGGGTCGTCAACCACTTCAATAGTCACCTGCGAAGACCAAGAGAAGGCCCTGAGTGACCCACACATTCACATGTATCATTGATCTGATCGTGGACAGCGTCAGTATTTGTGAACCCTCAACAGAGGACAAATAAGCAATTGAAGTGTTTGATGTTGCTGCGGTTAGGTCTGCATTAAACACCATAAATACTTTCTGCAGCTTTAGCGCTTGACTTACAAGCTCCTCTCAAGAAATCAACCATCTCAAATCCTTGGGAGAGTACTTTAGCGAGCGAAAGTCAGCCAGTCAGACGTGAGCATGAGCATTCAGCCAACCAAACGATCCTCTCAGGGAGAGAATGTGAACCTTTATTCTGGATAACTACCTCTCATTACCTCAATATGACTCATCCTAGATGCTACAGTACTTCCCATGGGCCCCACTTCCGCTGATGTGAAGACCAGGCAAAGAAAGAGTGAGACGAGAGAGGGGAAAGCTATGTTTCTGTAACTGCTGCAAACCTAATTTCACAGTTAGGGAAGAAGTGCGATGATCGGGAACTGCTTGTTGTTTGTCTAGAGTCGGAGTTTGGGTGTATCTTGTCAATGTGCTGCATGAAAACACATCATTATGTCCCTCTAACCACATCCTGATTACACTGACCAGAGCTGGAGAGGATAAGTGCCTCGAGATAGGTTAAACTCCTTGGGTTCATTTAGAAGGAAATGAGGACTTAATAGACACTTCTGATCACAGATCTCTTTTTCCTTTATGACATTTTAATGAAATAGTCGTAAAAATGACAGCAGTGTCTCTAAGATTAGGCTGAGAGTTTGTTGATTTTTGTTGCACATTAAGGGAATAAATCATCACAACTACCGACACAGCGGCCCCAGTTCTCCACGCATGAAAACGTTTAACCCATCACTCACCTGTATGTTGGGGTTCTGCGAGTTGATGTCAGCATTGGCCAGGTCTGGAAAGTTCTTCAGGTCCAGGATGAAGGGTTTGGTCTCCTCCTCAGGCTCGGGCTGTGGGAGAACGCCGACGGACCGATGCTGGGAGTGAGACCACCTCCTCTGGTGGCTGTGGGGCTCCGGCAGCAGACTCTGGACCTGGTTCTGCTGCTCCAAAGCCTCTGGGACATACTGGACCCCACCACTGTGAGCTGGGTGGCCGTGAGCCTGATGGAGAGTACAGATATGTACGTGAGCCATTTTGACCAAAAAGTATCTTGTGGAACAACAAAAGAAATTGCTAAATAAAGACCTTGATTAAGGGCAACTGAGACAACTTGCGCACATTGAAAAGCTAGGAGCTACTTTTGGGGTTTTGCAGTGGCTTATTGACAAGTCTAAAAACAATTAGTGCTCTGTTTCCAGGAAGAAACCTTGATACCATCCACCACTTCATAGCTTGGTCAGCAATTCCAAAAAGCCCCTGAGGCATCCAACTAACCAGCCAAGTGACCAACCAGCCTTCGTTTCATTTTCTTTTTTTCCCACAACAGTCATGGCATCCAGGCCGTGGACAAAGAGGGTCCTGTGCCAGAGAGATCCTCTTTTAGCTTTAATGAGAGGGCCTGGGAGGCGTGGGACCCCTGGGCTGGTGCAAGTGTGTCTGAACCTGCTGTTCTGCCGCCACTACAGCCACCGTTTAATTTGACCTTTCAGGTTTTACGGTTACTTAGAGGGAAGACCAGCAGGAAGAAACATCATCCCAGAGATTAATGGTGATTAATGGTGACACTGTAATTGTGGGAAATTGTAAATGCATCTGAAATACAGTCAGTGAAATTTGATTTTTGGTGGGTTTGATTCTGTGCCTGTTTTGTGTCTTATAGAACGCATGTTCTATTTCATGGCTGTCACCAGTCAAAGCCTAAATCCAAACCCTCTAATGAACGCTCGTCTGCCATTCACTCATGTCTGTGTCATCCTGAATATGCTAAATTGGCCCAAACATATGATTGGACAAGAATTTGAGATTGGACCTGAGCCAGTTTGCGGTCTGCTCAGCAAAACGGTGGCAGTTGAAGGGCTAAAGAGGAGAGAAACGTCTGAATTAATGACCAGTCGGTTGATGATTTATGGTTATGGCCTCGAGAACAGGGCGTACTTTTCAGTGACTGCCTGCGATTGTCCCATAAAGAACTTATGTGGTCGGTCAAATCCAAGAATGTGAACACATAAAGCCTGTTTAGTGGAGAAGCCTGTCGGGCATGATAAATGATGGATGGAGTTGGCCCCCTCCTCAGATATCTGTAAACTGGTGGTGACAAATAGGTAACCTTTTTGGAATACTTAACCTTTTACCCTATAATTTCATCCACAGTTTTCTAACATCACACATACTGAAATAAATCCAGTGACCATTTATCACATTTTCTGATAAGTGTTACCCAAGTAGTACAGAAAACTCTCAGCTCCTACTTGCTGCTTTGCTTTGTTTGTTATCATTAGAACCTGAGTGTCTTTGGATTTCGGATGGTTCATCTAACAAAACAAGAGAACCAAGACATCTTCCTTCTTGGACTAGAACGACCTTTTTTCACGAAAACCTGACTTTTTATACTCTAAATCATAAATCAACACAATATTCTGCAGATTAATCAATAAATGAAACTCCTATTTGCTGTTTTTGTTTGTTTTATGTCATTGTAAACTGAGTATCTTTGGACTTTTGGGCTGTTTGTCTATCAAAACAAGACATCTGAAGACATCATGTTAGACTAGTAAGGACATCTTTCACTTTGTCCTGATATTTTATACACTATAAATACTTAAACAAAACAATAATCTGCAGATTAATCATTAAATGAAGCTTCTAGTTGCCTGTTTTCTTCATTTTACATTATTGTAAACTGAGTTTCTTTGGATTCTGGACTGTTAGTCTAACAAAACGAGACATCTGAAGATGTCATCTTGGACTGGTGTGGACATATTTCACTTCTGCCTGACATTTTATACTTTAAGTACTTAATGAAGACATTCATTTTCAGAATAATCTTTAAATAAAGCTTCTGGTTGCTGTGTTTCCTTGTTTTATATTATTGTAAACTGGTTGTCTTTGGAGTTTGAACTGTTAGCCTAACAAAACAATATAAGTGAAGACATCATCTTGAACTGACTTTTTACACTCAAAACAATAAATCAAGCCAGCGGCCTGCAGATTAATCATTAAATGAACCTCCAAGTTGCTGTTTTTCTTTGTTTTATATTACTGTAAACTGAGTGGTTTTGGATTTTGGACTGTTCGCCTGACAAAACAACACAACCGAAGACATCATGTTGGACTGGAACTGCCGTTTTTCACTGATGCTTGACTTCTTACACCATAAACAATGAATAAAGAAAATAATCTGCAGATTAGTCATTAAAAGAAGCTCTGTGTGTTGCACTGGTCAGTTAGTTTTATGCCTCTGAAAAACTGGCTTATTTAAAAAGCCAACTTGCTGTACAATTCTGTGCAAAAATAGCACAGGAATGCACCAACGTCTTGCTGCCAGAACCTCCATTTTTAATATATTACCTTTGGAAACTATGGCTAGAAATAAAGCAGCTACCATTGATTCTCTGTCTGTACATAGCAAAAAATAAAGGCTCCATCTTCTTCCATCATACATCTCGTGTCTGGTTGAAGATTTTGTTACGGCACCGTCCTGCATTTCACCTTGTACCTGGCCTGAGTGCGTCACCGTCCAATCTGATTAGCAGCGACCGTGCATACCTAACGTTCACACACATGCAGACTCACACTGACTCGAAAAAGACTAAGTCCAGAGTCATGAAAGAGGCCACATACTTTCACACCCTCCTCATCTCGTCTTGTTACACATCTGGATCCTGTATTCTTTCGCCCTGTATATCACTCTCCTCCTCCCTTCTTCCTCCCCCTCGTTCTCTCTGATCCTGCTCTCCTCCTCTCGGTAGTGGGGCTCTTCTGATCAAAGGCCCGATGGCTGATGGCATGCGGTGTGTTTAACAGGGATGCAGTGGGGTACCTCGGCCTGCATTCTCTTCGCAGACGTTACCGACGATCCGGCCTTTTTGGCGAAAGCGGCGCTTTCAAGCGGCTGAAAAGAATGGATCCATTTTTGGGCTACTGTCATTGCTACTGCTGATGATGACACACATTCAGGTTATGGAGAGGAGGTCAGGAGACTGGATGAGGGGCAGCGGGGGCTGAGGTGAGGGGCAGGGACAAGATCCGGTGGGGCTGGGGGGCAGGCTGGGAAGGCATGCAGTGTGGCAGCCCTGATTTATGTGCTCGCAGATATCAAAGGCGCCTGCACTTGGCTGTTTCCAAACCATTACAGAAGAACAATAAACTATGGACGCTCTTTGATCGCCGTCTTTCGCAAATGGAAACGGGACAACAAATGCATGCCTGGTGGAATCGGGGTGAGGTTGCGGAGGTCGGGGTGGGCAGCAGGGGTACAAAGCAGAAGAGGGCAAACAGGTCCCAATATTTAGAAAAGAGGCCACTTCAACACAACCCTCCTCCTCCTCCTGCTCCTTCTTTTTCTTCTTCACCGAGACATTGGGGGGCAAAGCCAAAAAACAGGAAATTCCACATTAACACAAAAAAGAGCCAATGTAAACAATCAGATGAATGACACTTGACCCGAGCTCCAGCGCGAGAGATGCCGAGGGCTTGCCTTATTCTGGTTACATAAGCATCTCGTTACTGGGCACCCGGTTTACTGAGCCTCCCCTCCTCCTTCTGTCTTCCTCTGCTAATCTCCCCTCTCCATCCGCCGCTTTGGCTTCCAGCAGGTTTGCAGGCGAAAAGGTACAGAATCGCTGCCTGCTTGGTGAATGAAACCAACAGTCGCACAAGCCGCAGTTTTTCTTCTTCTTCTTCTTCTTGCTAATGATTCCCTTCTCTTCCCTCCCTCTCTCTTTTTCCCTCTCTGTCTCTTTGGACATCAATCAGACAGATGATGAGAGAGGGAGAAAGTCCCAATAGGGCATCCATGGGAGGCCACACAAGAAGGAGAGTTCAAAGGCAAAAACTGAACCCTGACACAAACACACACAAACAGACTTTGATATCCAAATACGTCCGCGCGTAACACAAACATTCCCGCGGACGCACCACACACTGCACAGCGAGTATGTGTGCGGGGAGTTTGGATTTATGATAGCAGGGTGTTTTTGCCCAGTGATGGCAAACTTTACTATACATGGAGAGAGAAGTGGAACAAAGGAAAGCAACGCGAAGTGATGCGGAAATTCTGTCATTTTGACTCATTTGGTGGATTGAATGTTTGCTGGAAATTGGTAGCTGAGTGAGATCAATGATTTGAAGGTGATTTAAGACATGTTTTTGAATGACACTCGGTTTTAAATGAACAAAAGTATAAAAAGAAATGTATTCAGACTAAATTACCAGCTTAGTCGCCTAAAGGTGCTTAATTTTAGTGTCTATAACAATTGTGCTCATAGTTAAAAGCAACTTTTTAAAACGTTTTACTGCAGTTTGTGCTTGTTGTTTGTCTGATTTTGCACAAGTTAGGAGCATAGGAGTGGATAGGGTGCAACATATTAAAATAGTTAGCAAAGTTTAAGCAGTTGGCTAATTGTTATCTGTTTTTTTCAGTGGCAATGTAATTTTTACGCCACTACAGCTTTTTGAGACATGCATCTTAAGTATTTAAGCTATTTTGAAAAAGCAAGAAACAAAAAATATCCATAGAAAACTTAGTTTGCAGGCAACATTTGACAAAATGGGAGCAGCGCATGAAGGACGGCATTTTGCAACAATTAGCAAATTAGCAAAGCTCGGTGTGTTAGCTAAGTGCTATTGTGAAAAAAATCTCTCTTTTTTTTGGGCCAGCATGATTTTTAAGACACTACAGCTTTTCCAGACATTTTACTAAACTTTCTAAGACACAAAAAAGACAAGAAACAAAAATATTTGAAGAAAACTTAGACATTCCAAACAATGGGGGTGCACAAAGGATAATATTTTTGCAATGTTCAAGATGCTAACTCATTTTTATCGTTAAAAAGCGTTTCTTTTCAGTCACTGTTGTGATTTTAAAGATGCTACATCTTTTTCAGACAAATTATTTAACTTTCTATGCGACAAAAAAGTCCTTTTTCCCTCCAGGGGGATATAGGTTTACATGAGGGATGACATTTTGCAAAAGTTAGCAAAGGTCAAAGAGTTTAGCAATTGTTTAAAAATTTGGGTTTTTTTAGTGGCAAGCACAATTTTAAGAAGTGACAGCATCTGGACACAAGTTACTTCAGCTACAAAAAAAGCAAAGAAACACAAATTTATGAAGAAAACTTACTTTGTGGAGTATAGTAGTACATAAAGGGCAACATTTAGCAACAAAAAAATGTTTTTGCAAACAACAAATACATTTTTTTCAGTGTCAGGTGGGATTTTAAGACACTTTTTGAAACTTGCTGCTCAACTTTGGAAACTCAAAGAAAAAAAAAAGCCAAGAAACAAAAAGTCTGAAGAAAACTTACCTTGTGGGCAACTTTTTAAAAAAGTACTTTGACTTATGAAGGTGACACAGGTATGAGCAAGGAGGACATTTAGCAACAGTTTGCACTTTGTTATGGTTAAAACAAGCAGGTGTGACTTGAAGAGGCTACAGCTTTTTGGAGAAAAAACACAAGAAACAAACAAATATTTGAGGGAAAACTTACTTTGTGGGCAACATTCTTGCGTCTGGTGGGAAACCCAGTCCCCAAACTAACGAGAAGTATCGACCAAAGCACGACCAGCATCTGAAATCTCCTCTCCACCTCTTGACGCATCTTCAAAGCTTCCTGAGAAGATGAGTTTTTTGTTTTTTTAACAAAGAAAAAGTACTTTTCTCTGAAGTTTTTTTTTGGAAGAAGAGCTTGTTTCTCCTTGTCTCTTGACAGTAGACAGATGCAGGTTTTTTCTTTTTTCTTTTAAAGCCTCTTCAGTGTCGGAGTGTCGCACTTTATGAAGATGCGCACCAGCGTCCGGAGCTGTCCCGCGCGCTATCCATATCTGGCACCAGCGGCTCGCGCAGCGGCAACGTGTGGCGGCTCGAGCTTCTTCTTCTCTCCCCCATAAAAGCACGCGCAGCCGGTAGAAGCTTTAAGTAACGACAAAACGAGTCCCGACACCCCCCCACCACACACACACACCCACAGAATCTCCCCGTCCGCACCGGCGCTCCGCTTATTCAGCTACTTTAAACGGTGACTCACTCCGTCGTGTGTGGGTGGGTGGCTGGCTGTTTTCTTCCAATACATTGACATCTGGAGTTCATAGTATTGCCGCGGCGTTGTCTCTGTCTGACGCGTTAATCCAGCTGAAGTTCATCCACCGGTTCGAGAGGACGTGAGGGTGTGTAAAGTGTGTGTAAAGTGTGTGTGTGTGTGCAGCGCCCAGCCAACCGGTTTCGGTAAACTCGCCTCTTTTTTTTTTTTTCTTTTTACGCACGCATTCGGAGGGCTTGATGCTGCAGGAGTTGGGGGTGGGATGCTCATTGCTCACAGCTGTGTGGAGGGAGGGGCGGCTGCGAGGGGCCGCGGAGGTACATGATAAGGTAGAAGCTTTAGTTGACATGATGGAGCAGAGAGAAGTGTACTTTATCAGCTATAGTCTTGGCATTGGAATAGATTTTATTTGATCACTGGGGAGGGCTGAACTGCAGAGTCTCATAACTTTATAACAGGAATCTACTATTCTGCATGAAAGTGCAATTATAGGTCCTTCAATTGGGTGCATTATTCATCCTGTCATATCTGTAGATATTCATATGTATGTTCATGAAGTCATACCTGCACACATTTATATTTAAACTCATCATATCATACATGTACATATCAATATGTAGATTCCTAATGTCATATATGTGCATATCCATGTTTACATTCATCATGTCACACCTGTAGATATTTGTGTTCATGAAGTCATACCTGTACACACCATGTTTAAATTCATCATGGTATACCTGTCCATGTATATATGCCAATTCATCATATCATACCTGTACTGATCCATATTTAAACTGATCATGCCATATTTGTACATATGTAGATGTATATTCATCATGCCTCATCTGTACATGTGAAAGGTTTATATAGTCTTGATTATATCTTTATTATTATTATTATTATTATTTAGCCTTCTTGTACTACTGTTTCTTGTTTTCTCTCTTCCATGCCTCATCTGTGTCTAATTAGTGTAATATGTACATTTCCCCCCAGTGAGGATCAATGTTTTAAGTTATTCTGGTGAATTTTTATGCACCAATATGTGCCTCGAAGTCCTGTTTCTTTCATGTGTTTCTAAGAGGTGGCACATGTATTAAAGGGGATGAAGCCCCTACAACCCCCCCCGACATCTACGCCTCTGCTTGAATGTCTAAAGTGAAATGGTCCACCAGCTCCCTGTGAAATTATTTCCGTTGTTCCTATTTAAGCTTGTTTTCTAAACTTTAACGAGTCCTTGGCTCAAGCTGCCAGTTTACAGTCAGGTTGAAGTTAGTGGGTGACTGGTCAGTGTGGAATTCTGTGGAACAGCAGCGTGTCAGTGACTTATCAGTCAAAAAGGCTTTGCAGCCTCGTCATGAGCTGTTCGTCTGTGTGAGTGTGTGCGCTTGCCGTAAATAAACACAAACCCATTCCAGAGCTCCATACAAAGAAAGTGATTTAATCTTTGCAGCACTGTTTCCAACATCGTGGTCAACAAACATCACGGCTTTACAAACTCCTCTAAGTGGTTTATCTTCAACCCAAATACAATTCCAAGGGCAAAAGCAACTGATAAGCAAGTTTCCGTCGGGTCACTGCAGGCCAGTTCACAGGGACGAGACACGGCTGAGGTGGAAAACGTCCCATTGCAAGCAGCTCTGCATTCAAATGATCTCCCCGGACATTAACTCTGCAGTTTCAGTGAGGGAAACCTGGCTGAGAAAAACAGCCATGTTGCTGTTTGCAATTACATTTTTTGCCTACATGGACAGAAATGTAGAGACTCAACATACTGCACGGTGCTGCAGACAGCTTGAGAGGAAACTTTGACGAGAAGAAAATTCTTTATGTCAGAGCACATTTCTGAAGAGTGCATCCAGATCACAGTCATGTGTTCCACACTGTATATTTTATTTATTAAAAGCAAATGCATCACCGAGTTGTTTTTGCAGGCCATTTCTTGTGGAGAAAAGACAATATTGGAATGACTCAGACAAAAATGCGACTAATGTGTAATGGATGTACAAAAAAAAAAAAGAAAGAAACAAAACAAAAAAAAGACCCAAACTAGTGGTCGTGCTGTGCTAAAATGCCAAAAGCATCTTTGAACTTGTGTTGAGTTTCATCACTTTGTGGGAATGGTCACATTGTCAGATGGCGGCCAGCTCTCTGACTGGCTTCACTGACAACCTCCTGTTCATGTCAAAAAAAGTGATACAACATAAAAACACATGTTTGACAGTGACTCACAGAGAAAACAGGACAGTGAACCAAAACTAACAACAATGAGAGCAGGTCGATACGGAATGTCATTCCAGCAGATGATCACAAATGATAAATTATGAGGAAAACACAATGACACATGGAGTATTCCCAAACAAATCTCGCAAATATCAGTGACTACGTCATCTGTGCATTTAAAATGCCTGTCAGTAGTGCTGCACTGAAGGTAAAGACATCTAAAGTAGTCCGTTAAAATACACTCCCCTCCGCTGGGACACATTTGGAGCTGCCTTTAAGACAATAGCTTTCACAAAAATAGATCGCTAAAGGATGACAAACGCATTTTCAATAAATAAAGCTGTCTGTATATCAGATGGGAGCTCCGTCGTCATACGTACAGATCTAAAGTTAAAGCGTGTCGTCGTGCACAGATCGCCGATTCACATGAAAGCACTTGCGTGAGAGTGAAATGCGAGAAAAATAAATCACACGTGTCGCTCGTTAGCTTATAGAAATGTTAAAGACACTAGGCTCAAGTTTGTTTTCTTTTTGAGTGCAGGTGTAAACAGTAAATAAAGCTGAAAAATATTTATAGAAAATAAGCAGTAAAAAAAATATTCCTTAAGTCTTGCTCCCTGGAGTTCTTTCCCCGTTAAACGTTTTCTTTTGGAACACCTGTTTTCTTTTTTTTTTAAGAGAAAAGGTAGAAAATATATCTATACATACATATATATATATATTCATATATCCTTTGGTTAGGGAAAGAACCCAATATTCTATACTCTCTATTCAAGTAAAAGTGATTAGGGGAAAAATAAGCAATCAGATAAATACATATGGAGAACACATGCTTACTCCTGTGAAATAATGTATCTCCGTTTGAGGTCTGGGATGCTACCCTAAGGCAGTATGACCAACTGTGTGATAAATAATATTTACATACATCGTTTTTTTCCTCGTGGAAATCACAGCGACGGCTATGATCGGATTTCTTTTTCTCTGAGTGCACGAGTAGGAACTCTGCTTTGCCCCAAGGTTGTCTGAATTACAAAGAAACTCCATATTGTTGTTATTATTGCACAAATAAGATACACATTCAATGTGCACACAGGAATAAGACTTGACGTTAGACAAATGCAGTCACAATAAGTTAGGACAAAAAGAAAGGCTCTGAACACGCTAACAACGGACACAGTTGGATGTGGGTGATTTTGGTCCTCCCAGGCCATTGGGGAAATCGGCTGGACCGCTCACAGACGGCACACAGGCCCGTACAGGTTTCAGAACGGGTCGGACCTGTGCAGACTTTGGTTCTGGTGAGTCCACGGGAGTCTGATGTGAGGAGATATGGAGAAGTGAGCTGGCTCAGAGGAAAACGAGGGGGGCGAAGGAGGGTTTTGGACGCGAAAAGCTCAAAGTAGGGGAGGGACAGTGAGTTGGGAAGAGGGCTTGATGAGGCAGGACGACGTGGCTCAGTCCTGAAGCAGACTCTCCTCAGACATCCAGCCCAGAGAGGGAAGAGGCTGCTCACGTCTGGAGTACTTCAGCTGCAGCAGGTCGCCCACTTCGCTGATGGCCTCCAGCGCCTGGAAAAACAACAACAATAATGTTATTATATAAGTGTTAGTACTTAGTAGTTGTATCAGTTAAAAATATATCAACCGATAAGGCAGAAGATGAGGGACACTTGTGAGAATTGTTGATTTGCGGTAGTTCCTGGTTGCACCACCAGGAGCCTCTTACTGTTTAATGAGATGAAGTTACAGGTGTGTTTGCTGACCACCCCTAACTGTGCATTAAAACAAGTGCACCTCCCTGAAAACTGTTCCATTTGTTTTTGAGAAACGCTGCAGCATCAAGCTGCGAAAAAGGTGTCTGACAGCTTATCGGCTAAGCTTGCTACCTGGGGCTAATGCTAACACCTAAATAAGATTTTCACACAGGCACGGAGTCGCTGCTAACGTTCAGGAGCAGGAGGACTCGGATTACAACATTCAAATTGAAGTGATGGAGTGTATCGGTGACGCTCTGCTCTGAGAATATATACATTTCAGAGGTGGTAGTAAATACAGACAGATATCCTGGACTGATAAAGTTCTTGCAACAGTTTTTGAGGCATCTTCCCTTTATTTTGATATCAAACTGCGGTGATTAATAATGTTACGTACTGTGGAAAACTTGAGCTTCTTGCTTTAATTTTGCAGCAAATGTGAGGCATCAGAAGTTAAAACTGTTTTATCAGCACATAGAAATACATCCACTATTTCACTTATTTCAATGTCTAGATTATTGTCCGTTGTTAATGTAGCCGACTATCAGTTCAGTTCATCGTTATGAATCTGCATTACTAGCCATTAATCTGAATCTGAAAAGACTCTGAGACAGTCGAAATTAGGTAGATGGATGAGCCAGACAGTAAAAAAAACAGATGAGCAGATACTGCACATAGCCCAACTTGAAAGAAGACTGTGTTTGTAGGTGACAAATGGAGTGATAAGCCTCACGCTTGGATTTTTAACACGGTCACAGTGGCGAAGAAGAAGTGGAGGACTCCAAAAGCAAAGGTGAACAGAAGGCTCCCTGTATAAACCACAACTGAACAGAAACTCCTCCACTTCTTTCCACCAGAGACTGTATCAGCATTGCAACACACTGCAGGGCACCTGGAAACAATTTACCTTCCTCCTGACCTTTTTTCTGATTCCATGGTTTGAGAAATAGTGAGGGCTGGCTTTTCCAAAGACGGAAAAAGCGGCTCCTAGAAGTGCTCTACAAAGGCAGGCTGATGCCCTTTAAATGGACTATTACAAACGGTGTTGACATGCTCCTCAGTAAGATGAATGAAGTGTCTTTGGAGAGACAGAGCAGCTCAAATAAAAGTCTCTGTCTGAGCCACGCTGTAATCTTTACAGACAGCTTGGCCTTCGAGGTTCCTTAGTAATAAAGGACATATTGGAAGCCTTTATTATTCAACAGGCACGCTCACACGTACATGGACTACAACACACACACACACACACACACACACGCAGAGCTGCACGGACCCACACTGCTGTCAGTCAGCAGTCCGGCAGATCTGGCTGATTAACAGACTGCTTGGATCCACGATCAGCCATCGTGGATCAAAACAAACTCCTAAATCATGTTGAGGATAAAATTAAGTCTTCAGCAATAAAAACTCTGTCCTACAACAACATCCCTTGAACTGGATCCAGTGCTGAAGACGATAAAGTATAAGCGGAGATCAGATGTGCCATTCTCTTTACACCTTTGATGATACATTTAAAAAAAATAGTGGCAGCTGTAGATTAGAGGTGGCATCATTCATCGGAGTGCATCGGAGGAAAAGTCAGGAAATTTGTTTGTGATTCTTAACAGCTTCTGGTTCAGTTTTACAAAACAACACCTTTTAAATAAAAGGCAATAAAACATTTTAAATGGACTTTTCCACTGAAAAATGGAAAGACAGTGTAAAGGAACCAGTGATTGCACCATCTCGTCAGTCAAATATAAAAATAAAACTTCAGCTGGAAATTGAATTTTTATAATTCGATTTTGACCTGGATTGACCATTTCTTAAAAAAAACAAAAAAACATTCACCTTCTAGGAATACTTGATGGATATTTTGTGGATAAAGGCATAGGATTTAATGTAATTTAGTGCTTCGGGCAGCTTGCTGGATGACTTACTGTATTGAGCGTCTCTCTGGTATGAGCAGCTGAAACACAGAAGCGAGCTCTGGACTCAATGATAGGTGTTGCTGGGAAGCCGACGACCACCGTGCCAATGTTCCTCTTCAACATTTCTCGACCAAAGGCCCTAAAAAGCAAAGGAAAAGTTAAGACGCAGGGCAACACATTGCAATCCTGAAGATGGTTTGAACTACCACCATCATCTGAGCTGAGATGGTGTTTGCTTTGATGTATGAAACTGAAGTCATAAAGAGCTTCTGACACATTTAAGAAAGGTTCTGTTTGCTAAAGTAATTTAAATCACCAGATGAGCTTTTACTAAAAGGTGAAATCATTTGATCGTTGATGTCAAAAGCGTGGAACATACACACCAATCACTCACCCAATTTTGGCAGGCATGTAGAGCATCATGGGCACGACGGGCGAATCGTCGTTGCCGTAGATGATGAAGCCCATTTCGCGGAGTTTTCTGCGGAAGTAGGTGGTGTTCTCTGAAAGCTGCCTGAGGCGATCAGCACCTGGTGGAGAAAAGTACAGCAGTGTTCAAACTGTTTCACCTTAAGACAGCCTGGGCGGACGGCAGGTACATTATTATAGCTGTAGAATTGTCAAGTGAACTTGAAGCAACCTTTTGAAATATTGCCGTGAGAGAAAACACCAAAAAAAAAAAAGCACATTACTCTTGTTTCCATGTATTTGAAGTGAATAAACCAGGCTTGTTGTCAGTAGGTGCCAGACTATAAGCCGATACTTTTTCCACACGCTTTGAACGCTACGGCTTAAACAATGACGCGGCTAATTTATGGATTTTTACGAATTTGCGTCGAGACGTAAGTGACATCGAGAGCGACGACAAAAGAGAGACTGAGGAAGTGTGAGATGAAGTAATTCTGACGCTGTTCAATTCCGACGCTGTTCAATTCCGACACTGAAGACTTTAGTGGTTTTAGTGTGTAGGAGGAAGATGAAGATAGCGATCAATGACTTCTCCTGGTAGGCTGCTGTATTTTTTATTTTTTTAACCAGCCGTGTTCGGAAAAAAGCATTTACAGTATGTATTTGTGTATGTTAGCGGTACGTATTTAATTAAAAGTTTAAAAAATCTTGCTGTGTAACATCTTTCTTTGTAAATACCTCATGCTACAACGTGGTCACCTGTGGCTTAGAGACAAGTGCGGCTTATATATGTACAACATTTGTTTTCTTTTTAAAGTTAGTGGGTGCGGCTTATATTCAGGTGCACTCAATAGTCTGGAAATTAAGGTATGTGCTACATTACACATTTCTATAACAGGGTAGAACAAGTCAGACTTTTATTTTTTTTTAACGCAGTCAATAAAAACCACAGAAGAAGAGGAAACAAGAGAAAAATGGAGAAGAAATTGTTTTCAATCAGAAGAGTTACAACTTTTTGTTCATGTCAGCTGGTGTCGATCATGTTTTACGTTGTCCAGAGACAACGACGATGACAGAAGCTGAAGCTGAGAGTTAAATGTTCACTACGTCAAAACTTGATTACATAATATATACAGTCAAAAATTTTATTAAGAAATTGGGTAAGTTATTTTAAATTGTGTGGATTCCATTATGTTTTTCTAATGTGATACTTTCAAATGTGTGAAAACGTGAGTGTGTAGATGTCCTGTGAGGTATGGTGTATTTCAGTGAAACCTTTTCAGAGTTTCAGGTGGCCGAGCCTTCATTGCTCTGCTGTAACTGCAGCCCGACATAAAACCAACCAATAAAAAGTTGGTTAAGTGACAGTAACCACACATCTTACCCTAGATTACCCATTAAAACTTTAGTTATTTATACATTTTTTGTTACAATCATAAACCTAAAGTATCTACCAATTACCATCTCCTGGCTTTGATTAAAGACCATCCACGTTCACGATGCCCCCACGCAGGTGTTTTCACTAAATTCGCCTGATTAGACCTCGTCTCGTCAGCTCGGTGCGTGAATGTACAAACTGATTGGCATTTTCCTCGCTTCCCCTGTTGCACCTGTTAGGGGACAGGACAACTTACACTTTTATGACTCTTATTATTAGTACATGAAGTTTGGTGAGCTCACGCATTCCAGGCAACCTGTGCAGACGTCTAATCAGCCCGAGTGAAAACACCTGCGAGGCTACGCCGGCGCTTCAAACCACAGCACTACTCTGGTCGTTATTTATGCTTGTAAGCTTGCTAAAATTTCATTATCAGCTCTTGTTCTGTGGCCAAGCGAAGGAAACGGCTTGTTCTCTGCGGCGTTTTTTTCCCCACCACTGACGACTTCTTTATTCTTTTTTTTTCAGCCTGTTTTTTAAAAAGTAAAATTAAAAATTACTTGAAATAAGTCACTCCAGTCACAAAAAAGGTGCAAAGTGAATCGCATGTCTTTTACCACACGTATTTGGACAAGCCTTTGAAGGCAAAACAAAATCCTTCCAGTTGGAGGTCAAGAGGCTGAAACTAAACAGACATCAATCGTCACGTGTCAGTCTGATGCGCAGTGTGGATTCACTCTCTGAATCCTCAGTGCGAGCCTCCAGAGATAGCATCTTAGCCAAACAAATAACCATATGGCACAAAGCGCCAACAGCAACACACATCTGCCTGGCTGCGCTCAACAACAGAGCAGAAACAACATGGCTTCAAAGCCCCCTGAGACACAACAAAGTCTGACATTATATTTATCCGCACATTTTTTCCATCGTCAAGGAATCCAAAGGTATTCTCAGCGTCGAGTGATCAGTTGGGGGGAGAAAAACAACAGCATATAATATTCAGGTGCTCTGCTTTTCACATGTTTTAGCTTTCTTTTCACAGTAAAAGAGAGCTGGTTTTTGTCTTTTATCCCTACTTTCCATCCATATATTTGATTGATTTAAGCTTTCATTTTGAAGCGGGCCTGTGTTTGCCATCCTGAACAGCCTTCCCTAGCAACACGAAGGCAACAACAAACCGTTAGCGAGCAGCTCAACTGTCACTTTCACTTTGTGTCAGCGTCTGAATCTTCAAAGGCTTGAATTTCAAACAGTGACGGGGCTGCAACCAATCAGACTGTCATTGTTACTCTTCTACAAGGAAAACTTGTCAGGCTTGGATATGTTGCAAGGTCAGCTCGTCTGGCCTTCTCTTCTCAGAAATGATTTAGAGGAAGAGTTGATGACATTGTAGGAAAGCCGACACTTTAAAGGGTTAGTCCAGGTGTTTATTCCTGTACCTAACGACTGAATGGCCTGGGAGGTAATGTAATCTGACCCTATATCAGCATTTTAAGGGAGGCTGAATCAATCAAGCCCTGGAAAGAGCAAAGCGGTGCCGCCCTGCAAGAAAAACAAAACTTTGTCATCCATTTGTGTGTGTAGGAGAGTCCAGGAGAGTTTGATCTACGCGGATCTCTTGTTTTAAGCACCATGCTGCTTTTTATCCACAGCGTGAAGGCAAAGAAACACACATATACAAAGAAACACACATCTGAAAGCCATAAAAGGAGAGGGGAGAAGACTTTCCATCAGCCGGGCCTGAACCGGACAGAATTAGGGAACGGTCAACCTACCAGTTTATTAAAAATAAGCACATTCTGGCGTATAAAGAGAGGAGGAGGCTGCTGTGAAGGTCTACAGAGAGACCTCAAAGTGGCACTACTAAGATTACTGGGTACTAAGATTGGTAACAACTTTAACAAGCGATTTGTTAGCTTACAAAAAAGATGCTTAAATCTGAAGTGACCATCTCAAAAGAGGAAATAAATATAATTTTGTTTTTATAGAATAATGCAGGTTTGCTTGAAAAATACGCTGTGTAACATTCTAAAACAGAAAATAACTTTGACTAACGTTGCAGTAATGTTTGCCTTATCGTCACAAGCGACTGTTTGGATGTATGAAGGTCACGAGCCTGTGTGGCTTTCACACCGACACCTAGAGAGAGTTACTACAGGCCATATCATTTCGATAAAGCTATCTAACACATCTGGTATTTGATGGTAAATAGTTAGCCAACAGAACTGGCCTTTATCATTTGGCTGTGAATAAAGAATGTAAACAGGCGCACTCAGTAGGAAGAAGTCAAAGCACAAAAGCTGGCAAAGCTGATGTGAATTGAAAGAAAACAAATTCCATAGTAAATGTTGTCTTACAAGCAGCAACAGGCCTCAGAGTCAAATCTGAGCAGCGGGCCTGTACTGCCACCTTGTGGTCATGTAAAATACCACCAGGGAAGAAAAACAAAACTGGAATCACACTGAAAGCTGAAGTGACCTTGAAAGTGTGGCTAAAAACATGAGCATTACCAAGATGCTGCAACAACAAACAAAACCCAAAAGGAAAGTAAACAAAAAACCTAAAACAGATCAATCTTTCTCCACAATATGCTAAACACAGCAAAGTCTGAAGTTAAATGGACATGGCGTTTAACACCAAACAGCTGGTCCTAACTTTAATAAATAGTAGCTAACAGAAAAAGATAACGTCCATCAAACACTGGATTGTGATTAAAGCTACTTGTTATGAATTCTGGATGAGTGCAGATAAGACTCACTACACAACCCTGGCAACACAGGGATGCTCTTTTCATCGATTTTACAACACACTCAGCTGTTTTTTGGCACCTACCCAGTGTGGTCCCATCCTCTCCCATGATGATCTTCATAGAGGTGATTATCTGTTGGGCCACCGGAGGAGACATGGAGGTGGCGTACAGAGCGCTATGAGAGTGGCGCCGCAGGTAGTCGATCAGCTCCTGACAGAGAAATGACATTTATTTTTGATTACTTATCATGAACATAGCAAACAGCCAAACGGCTCAAACTGGAGATAAAGTTGATTTGCCAGCTGTGTGTGACTTTAAAACTGCAAAAGACTGAATTCAAAGGTGTAGGTCAAGGGGTTTTTAACTTTTAAAGGAATATAATCTAAATATGAAATATAATATTTCAGGCAATACGCCGTCATCTGAGCATTTTAAACATGTTTGCTGTCTGATATTTACACTGCAAGCAGTGATTTCTGTTTTGAAAGTGCTGTTTATTGCATTTCCCAGCTTTGCATTTGTATTTTTTCCATAATCTCGGCCAACTTAAGGAGCACAAATGACGTGTTTGCAGCCATACTAAGAACAAAAGTGAAACGTACAGTGAATCAGATCCTATTCAGCAAAAACAGGAAGCTCAATTTCCAAATGCCAGTAAACAGTGTGGACCAATACCAATGCTGAATGAAACATAAGGAGTTGGGAAATTTCTGCGGCTCCTGAGGATGAGTAAGTGCTCCAACCAGTTTAATCAGTCAGTTTCATCACCTCTACTGGTAGAGCAAAAGCTTCGTAGTCCCTTTCAGTCTATCTGTCCTTTTAAACTGACCTTTTTGCCTCCAATGTATCCTCCAGCAGCACCGAAGCTCTTGGTGAATGTTCCCATCATGATGTCTACATCTTTAGGGTCCAGGCCAAAGTAGTCCACCACTCCTCGGCCATTCGGCCCCAGGGCCCCGATGCTGTGAGCCTCATCCAGGTACAGGTAGGCCTTGTAGCGCTTCTTCAGAGCTATGATCTCAGGCAGACGTACGATGGACCCCTCCATACTTTAGCAGAACAAAAAAAAATTAAACTTAGCAACCTCGAAAAGAAGTCCCACAACTGTTAAGTGTTAATGGCATACTTAAATACAATAATGTGACTGTGATTTTATCTTTCTGACTGGAGTACACTGGTCAATGTCTGCCACAATATCAACACTGACTGCCTTATATTAATTCTCTATTTTTTTTTTAAATTATATAAAGTTAAGTTAATATAAGAATACACCTGGGTTGTTCAGGTTAGTGCGCTGCTAGTGCACATCAATGGCTTGTGCAAGTGGATAATGTCAATGTTTGTTACTTCTGATGCTAAATGTTTGCTCCTTCAATCCAGATAAACATGGAAAAACATTTTCTCAACAGAGGCCATCCCGAGAAGGCATGAAGTCAATTCAGGCCACAGGTTTTTGTTTTTCAGTTATTTAAACAAAGCAAAGCAATGGAGCTGTTTGTACAATTCAGTTATTTGTCACAAAGCACATGGAAATTAAAATATATGAAGCTTAGTCCTTTAAATGTGGTAGGTATTATTAAATAAATTGTTAAAGAAAAGGTATGGGTGTCTATCAAATCTGCCAATCGTTCCAACCGTTGTTTTTATGATAGGAACACAGCTCCATCGTCACTGTAGCAGCAAAATCATCTGCAGTTAAGCTACTGCAACAAACAGCATCTAATTATGTGAGAAACGTTGCTATTGTTTGATTAACTGCCACCCACAATCCAGCCCTACCATCAGTAAGATGCTGTGCAAAGCAGTTGACCTTATAGGCAAATGTCTAGCCTTTGTTTAGTTGTGTACATGTAGGGGTTGTGTGTTTGTGTGTGCAAGCGCCGTCTGTTTTAGCAGTTCAAGTGTTTACTCTGGAAATCCCAGTGGAAATGAAACTCCATTAACATTGCATTCGTAAAGGGCATCGAGTCTGGCAGCAGACAACTTTATTGATCAACCGGATTGATTGCCTTTAGAGTAAGTACCGTCACAAAACAAGGAATATATTAAAAGGAGACTGGGCCCCATTTGCAATTATTTTACATATTTAGACAGAATGAAATCAAGAAATGTTGCCATCATGGGTAAGAGGCTGAACTACTACATGTGAAATTGCTCTTTGTACGGTATGTTTTCAGTCAGGAGGTAAGTGTAGTATTCTGTGAAATCAATACAGAGAATCTTGCTTCGGTTATCTTGTGAAACTACTTCATTGTTTTACTGCAAATGAGTTTGCTGCTACAGTGAAGATGGAGTCGTGTTCACATCATAAAAACGGCCTTTAGGACCTGAGGCAGGTTTAGTACATCAATATCTCTGCATTGTGACCGTAACATTTTAACAGAGTTACTGAAATGCATCAAGGACGCCAACGGCAATGTCATGGAAGAATAGAGTTTAACAATATCTGTTTAGAACTTTTAAAAATGTAAATACAAAGTGACAAATGCACCATCAATCAAGCTAAATACGGATTAAGGAGTCTTTAACCACAAAACGGTGGGTGTTACGTCACTGGGAGGAAACACTGTCTAATGTGACACACCTGTGGCTGAAAAAACCAAGTGTAATTCCAATAAAATAAATGAAACTTAACTCAATGAATGTGCTGTTTATTGGAAGTGGATAAACTAGTTTAGGCAGCTTTCACGCCCATGAGCTTGCTTTAGTGTAACGTGCATGTGTGTTCAGATTGCTGTGCCTACCTGTAAATGCCCTCAACCACGATGAGGATTTTCTTCCAGGGTCGGTGGGTTCTCGGCTGCCCGTGTACGATAGCATCTCTCAGCAGCTTCTCAAGGCTTTGCATGTCTACATAAAAAGGATTTTGGGAAAACAAATATTTTGCCATTACTTAGACAAAGATTTTATTTTTCTACGTGAATATGAGAACACTCTCTTTAATTAATGGATGAGCGCCAATATATTAATATTAGAATAATTTGGACCTCTGACACTGTTTTCTCAGCAGCCGGTCCACCTGGTTCCTGGCTGCTCACTGTTAGTTTGGATAACTCTGGTGACAGTTTATATTTCTGTGCCTATGTGTGTGAACCGTAAAATCCCGCCACACCCAAAACAGACAAAGAGGTATTGGAGTAAATGTAGAAGCGAGGAAGCAAGTGTAGGAAATAGAGCTGAACAGTTTATCAGTGTCAAATCAAAATCTGAAACAGTTTAGGACGTATGAGGAGTGGCTTGTAAATTAGGAGCCCAAATTCATTTTTTCTTTATTCAATCAGATGGAATCTTTCAGGGGCTGTTTAAGCTTAGACTATGAACAACGTATACAACATGGTTCAGGCGTGCACGATATGGTCAGACTGGCATAAGCCTAGTCTCATTGAACGGCCACACCTCGCACATTTTGCAGCATGTTCGACCCTGAATTTAAACGGCCATGTCGGAGTTTCGCAAACCTATGCCTCCTTGTTGTGCAAGAGTCATGCTTTAGATGGTGTGTCATGTGCCAATCCCTCCATCATGTGTTAAATCTATTTCACTGTAAATGCTTAACTGAAGCTTGACAACAAAAAGCTGATATTGTAAATCAAATTACATTTTTTTTTCCCTCCAGAAAATTGCAATTGAATATGTTTCCCAAACTGTTCAGCTCTTGTAAGACAGACAGTTTGGATTTAAGCAACACGCTGCAACATATGCACGCCTATGGATTTACTATCCTATTGGATAAAGTGGATTAAAGCAAATTGCTGCACAGTGTGGAAAGAAGTATTTTAATCCTGTGTACTGTGTTACTGCATGTTTCGGGTGTACTGTAAGTCAGTGTGCTATGAAAACATTTTTATAAAAGAGATCTGTTACTGGAATACACTCACTGTTGTGTTTGAAGACCCGAATTGTGGAGGCAGACAGGCGAGCGCCCAGCACCAGAGATGCATGATTCAACTCGTCGCTGAGGATGAGACAACCCTACAAGAAGAAGAAAAATGTATACTTTTGAAATGGAAGTGGCAGAGTTTACAAAATTTTGCAGTTTTTTCCAAATCATGCAAGAAATTTAGCAAATGAGGTATTCGATTGTAAAATGTGCTACTTTTGATGATTAAAAACTCTCTTGTAGTCACTGCATAAATAAAAAAATCCATGTTTGTCTTTTTAAAATATTTTTAAAATACAAAGTCTCTGTAAATTGACTTATGATTGCCAAATTTCTCTGCAGACACCTCCAGAATATAGATAAGAATAAAACGTGAAAGGGTGCTCTATCTAAGTGCTACTGAAGTGGAGATTTCTTTCCCAGGGTATGAGAAAAATAACCTCTTAGACAAAATCAGCCTTTAAAGATATATATTAGAACTGAATATACAGACATAAGTAGACAAAGTGCAGTAAACAACTGATACCAAATCTCAAAAATGGCCAGTGCAAGCAGACAAAGAAACCATGATTTTGCCTTTAGTGTCTTAAATTAATAGACAAGCTTCCTTTACAAACAACAGCCTCAGACCCACATCATGCATTGACTATCAAAACTATTTCCCTGGTAGAACCGTTTTTACACTGTATCATAAATATTGTTGGAACCTTATCCAGCTTGGAAAAATCAACACACCCAAACAGTCACGCAGATCGCATAACTTCTGCTACTCAATGAATAACAGAGCTTGTTACACAACTATGCAATGAAACCATAAAAATGTGACCATGTAGAAGAGTGACAGCCACAGTTAGGAATTTATGAATCCTTGCGATAAGGACAGTAACTCAAATCTTTACATTTTACAGTCCAAGTCCTTTTTATCCATCTTCATTTGTTTTTCCACCAGCGGTTTTCAGGAAATGTGTTTTTTTGACTCACAAGGTACACTGACACAGCTCAGATTTCATGTCCTGTTCATGTGACATTGGCTAAGAGAGAAAAGAGCAAGCAAGGACATGCATGTGTGATTTGTTGGGGTTAGAATAACAGCGACTGGGACCAGCCAAATACCACTCTGCAAGGTTCTCCACTCAGAATGTTTTGAAAGCTTGCACCGGAAACTAGCATGTTGTAGAACAGTCTGAACCCCTCGAGTTTGGCCACGAATCTGAAAAACTCTGTTTTCACTTTACACAGGAAGAGGCGTTTTCCCTCGACAGTGAAACTGTTGATGGCACTAGCTTACAATTACAGTATGTGCACTGGTTTAAGGTGATAACACAAACACACACTTTGAGTGAACAAACGGAGATATGTTTTGCTCAGAGGGGCCACAAAAAAACAAAACAAAACAAAGGAAGTGCATAAAATTTCCTACCTTCCCAGTGAGAGCAGGAATGTTCATGGAGTTGGTTGCGAAGCCCATGCCAAAAGCCATGGATGATTCAACGCCCAGAAACCTGGCAACCAACTGCTCCATTTCCTCATGGATGTCCAGGTTCCCTGAAAATGATAGCATCTCAATTTTACAACTTCCCCCTCGGAATACTGTAGCTTGCAGTCTTTTCTTACTGGAGAAAAGTCAAGGTCACATTTTTTCTTGCACCTCTTAAACAAGCAGTGCAGTCGGTCCATTTTCTTTCAGCTAAATACACCACTAAGCCCAGCTTTTCTTTTGCTGAAGATAAAAAGAGCAGCGACTGCCAAGGTTTAAAAGAGGCTGTAGCAAACTGACTGAAAAGTTATTTCAAAGCTCTCGTAACACATTCTTATATTCCACTCAATCTTTCAGTCCTTGAGCCACTTGAGCCTGTGGCTTCTGATGTATCCTGAAAGTGCAACAAAACAAAAGGTGGAGCAGTTGTTACAATGTCAGTAGACGTTTTCTTGGAACTCCATTGGATTCATTGGGGGAGAAAGCACCTTCAAGTGATGACAAATCATGAAAGGCTTCTGCAAAAGTCAAGTCTTGCATTCAAACGCTGTCACTCTTACCCATCTCACAGCGAGTGCTGCCCACTCCGACTCCATACGCTTGTGTGGCCTCAATAGCAGCATCGGCACAAGTTCCAGTGTTCTCTGCAAAGCCGAGGTAGTTGTAGGAACCCATATTGATGACATCCTTCACCACTTTGCCTGTGTGCCTGAGAGAAACAGACAGAGTCAGAGAGAGGAAATTGGCACCCTGACTATAGATTAACTCAAATAATTACCTTCAGCCTGTCTACCCTGGTTGCTTGGCAACCCTTTTTTGCCCAAAGGTGACCCTTTAACTGCCACAGTTATGCACAGTGATAATACACAATAGCCGATTGTCCCGAGAAGGATTCAGCTGATAGAGTGCATATTCTACACGACATACCAGTCTGATAAGCAGAGAAAAATATGACATGGCCTTGAAAGTTATCAGCTCAAAAAATACTTTAACTATCTATCATTTGTTCAATTAATAGATTGGCTGTTTGGTCTATAAAACACCAGAAAGTGGTGAAAAATGTCTCAAAGCCCAAAATGACGTCCTTAAAATGTCTTGTTTTGTTCACAACCCAAAGATTTTCAGTGTATAGAGGAGGAAAGAACCCAGAAAATATTCACATCTATGCAGCTGGAATCAGAGATTTTAGTTTTTCTTCCTATTTAGTCAAACCGATCAATATTAAGTTAACAAAATAGTTAGCGATAAATTCAGTAGTTGACGACTAATTGATGAATCGTTGCAGCTTTAGTGCAGTGCAGCTACAGAAACACGATGAACTCTCCCCATTTGTTGGAACTCTTCCATTAAAGCCTCAGCAGCCCTGCTAACACATTTGTGTGTGTTACATATCTTTTAAAATATCACAGCTCTTGAGGATTAGTGAGTTAAGGCATCCACAATTTATTGAGGTAACAAACAAAGAAAATGAAAATAATGGCAGTAAAATCAATTGATTATATGCCAGCATTTATTAAGTTTTGTGCTGTTTTTGATTCTACCACCAGATGACTACTTTCATCTTTAGATGGCTCTGTCTAGGGACACTTTGTTTAAAATGTTTTTCATATTTTGATTAGTAGCGTATGGTGCTTTGCTTTTTGAGACCACATGACAGATACTAGTGCTTTCAACATAACAATCTGACTCATAGCTCACGTCACTTCTATTATCGGAAATACAAGGTCAGTGACTTAAAGTGCAAATCAATGATACAGAGACAGACACACACACCTCTGAGGGAGCAATGACCTCGATTCTAAATTAACGCCATTATTCACACACGGAACAGCAAACACTCCTAATCAGGCACACTTACTCGAACGTCCAGTTGTAGTCGTGAGAAACTCTCTCGACCAGGTCCATCTTGGCACCGGGGACGCTGCAGATGGGCCGGTTCCAGTTGTCTCGGATCCTCATGTACAGGTTCCTGGTGTAAAAGTTCTCAAAATCCTGATAGAGGGGGACAAAGTCCTGCAGAGAAAACAGGAAAACGTGAATGATTTCCTACCATCACCTTTACGGTTGAACATACACAAAAGAAGTCATATTTCATTCTGTGGCAAACAAGGCCAATAGTCAATATTTACTGTTGATATAACGGATGTGAAAGCAGGATGGACACACAACACTGGCAGCAAATGCAGCAAGAGGACACACTTGCTCTGTTCAAGCACCAAATGTTCAAAATGCAGTCAAACAGCAAGCTTGTGAAATAAAGGTAAGGGTTTATCTTGTGCTTATATATACAAGGTATGCTTTTAAAAGAAACCTGAATTAACCCTCTGGACCCAAAAACACATTTGAAAACCATTTCATCTTATTAATAAACACTTTATTCTACATGTCCCATTTAAAAATCTGCCAAAAATAAACCGTCTACACACACACCAGTGTGTTAAAAAAAAAAACTTCACTCCTCGTTGCAACCACAAGGACATAGTCGACTCAGCTGTGACCAAAATTCACATGAGAAAAATCCAGGTACTTTTTGGCTGAACTTGGCCTAACTGCCGGCTGATAGAAGACAAGCAGGGAAACAATTTAAAAATGTAAAAACATCTATAGTATGTAGAGTTTTTCCAGTATTGGTTATATCTTTGGCCACTTGGAAAAATGTTTTCCCCCTATTTTTGTAAAATAAATTATCAAAGTAATTTACTTTTTTGTATTCTAATCTTGTCATATTGCATAGAAGCCATTTTTAGCCGTAACTGTGGTGCTTCCATCGACGTGCAGGACTTAAGTTGCAGTAAAAAATCATCCCACAGTGAGGAAAAATGTGGCAAGAACAGAAAATGCCCAGAAACAGCTTGAGGTTCAGAGGGTTAAGGAAACTCTTCAATTAAATACTTATATTACTCGTATGAGTGGATTTGCTGTTAATGAACATGCATTCAGTTTGCTTTAATAAGCTTTTACATTAAAAAAAAAAGTCTGATGTAAAAACTACTTTACCTTCTGCTCGTCTCTCTCGCGAGCCACATGGCACTTTTCGATGTTCCAGTGGCGGAGGAAGTCTCGGAGGTAGCCAAAGATGGTGAGGATGCCGTAGCCCATGTAGGTGAGCACGGCCACCAGTAGAGGAGTCTCCTCAAAGGATTCTGAAAAGGGCTTCTTGTACAAGCTGGAGTTGTGTGTGACATTTTGGTTCTGGGGGAGGAAAAATATAACAAGAAAAAGCTGTAAGCACTGGTCTCTGAATACAACTAAAATCTACGTGTTTTACAGTGTAATCAAAGATCGAGTTTTACAACGAATGTGAGCCCTGAGGCAGAGACTTAGTTGTATTTACTCATCACACTGGCTGTTTCTCCTTTAAGAGGTAATGGTTTATCTATATTTGAGATCTGTGTACTCATTAAATCTGCCACACCAGGCAGCCCAGTAAACTGTGAAAGAAAACAGACCAGTGCAGTATAAGCTGGGCGCACACCAGGCGACAGCAGGGTTGATTTGCTAAAACTGTGTTTTTCTTGGAAAGTGAGTTAGAAAGCTAATAAAGGCTACAATAATCACACGCATTCATGAAGCCATTCCTGTGTCCCCGTAGACCAGTAAGCAGTAAAATGGCCATCAATCCAGGGTTCTAATTCATTGAGTTTTATGAATAGCGATATTGATCTCGGATTATGGGAACATATAAATGTGGTCACGCGCTGGCGGAGTTGCACAAAAAATACAAGCGTAATTTCAAGCTTGCCGGTGTGATTTTCAGTTGTCTAGAAAACCAACACTAAACCAGTGAGGTCAGTCATTCATTACAGGCTCTGCCCTCGAGCTTAGCAACCACACCTCATGTGACCAGTCATGCTCCTCTAAGAAATACCTCTGAGCTGGGGAACAGAGGAGCACTGGACTGTGTGTGCGCGATTAAAACCAGTCAAACAGGTCGTTCTACTTAAAACTTCCATGAAAACGCATGAAAAGACCAGCAGTCCAGCAGACGGTTTATGAAAACAGTAAGCACAAAACACATTCACATTCAAGTACACCACTCAAAGAGTCTGTTGCACGCTAACGCCGACCACAGCAGCTAAATAGAGTCGGCTTGACGTCATATTTGCTTAATTTTTTATAACCTTGGACAAACAGAGACTGGGAAGAGGCTATTCGTTTATAGCTGGGCATCACAGGAACTGTCCCCCAGAGGAGCTTCCAAACCACAACTCTTTTGGATATCGGCTCTTTCACATGTTTCTCTGCAGCTCAATAGATGCCGATCATATTACACTGTGTACACAACAAGAAAAGCTCACGGTGTATGGTTCACATTAGGCACAATACAGTAAATAAGTGAGTAACTTCTCTCCCTGCTAAATGCTAATTCCATGCGCTGCTTATTTTTATGGAGCAATTATTGACACTACTGTCCCAGCTAACACCTGCCAGACCTAAATCCTATTTCCAAACACTTTTCTATAATCTCCATATACGGATTATGGCTCGCTTGATAAGGGATGATCAATATCTCAGCTGCAGAACTGATCCGTAGAGAAAATTTATTATCGATCTGTGACTGAGACCCAGGCTTACTGTAAAATGGTTTAAGCACTCCTGCCTTGTGGGAAGTTTAAAGACAGAGGTCAGTCTAGTCCCAACAAACTGATTTAAGAGACACTAAAAGTACAACTAAAAAAAAACGAGAGTTGCACAACACACCCTGGTTCCTCTTGCAAAGAACCTTCAGTTTCAGTTGACTCATAAAGACACAGTAGAACTAACACCGCAACAGGACGACGTCACGCCTCTTTTTTTCAGTGCTGACAGCAATTTTAAATTGTATTAACCTCCATCTATTGATAAACACTGTGCTTAATACTGGGCTGGACCAGTCTCCCTGTTTGACATCACTGAATAAACATGATCAAAGTACCGGCCTGATTCATGAGAGACAGAAAAATAAACAATGGTGAAAGTATGAAGTCTAACTTTTGTTTATCCATTTGTGGCTCCACACATTTAAACTGAACCATTTTCAGCGGGGAATCCTACAAATCCGAGAGCAGTATCTGCAGTAATAGGATTTAAAAAAGCCTTTCCAGTAAAAGTCTTTTTATTTTCTTGTTAACGTGCCCATATGTTTGGTTTCTTATATGTTAGAAGGCATAACATGAGCCAATAAGCAGTGTAATGCCACGGCTGAGAACTTGGAAACTGCAAACATAAAAAAAACAAACAAACTAAGGAACCAGTCCAGTATCAACTTACAGGTGGAGCTGTGACAATTATTTTATTAATCAATTATTTGTCATTTATTTAAATGAATCTGCAACTACTTTGACCATCAATTAATCAGTCTGAGACTTTTTTTTTAATGGAAAAAGTATAAATTATCTGATTTTAGTTACTTTATATGAATATGTTCTGGGTTTTGTCCTCCTCTACGATGGCAAACTGAGTATCTTTGGTTTTTGGACTGAACACAATGCCATCTTGGCTTTTAAAAAACACGATTTCCTGACAATTTATAGACACAACAACTAATCGAATCATCGAGAATATGATCAACAAATTAACTGACAATGAAAATAACTGTTAGTTGCAGCCCTAGTTGCAGGGTGGGGCTTTCCGTGTCATTACTCTTTTACCGGAGTTGGTTTCCAGGTTCGTACATGTGTGACTGAAACAGTCTAATATTAATTACAAGTTGCCATTGTGTAACACGGAGTAGTTTTACAGCGACGGAGCAGAAATATTGATGAGCTGGTGTGCTTGAGTGGCAGCGAGTGTGGGGAGGGGTGGTTGGACATTGGACATTCTAGGGAGGGATAATTTTAATGGGGAAAAAAAACTTGTAAAAATGTAACTTTGATTCACAGAGATGAGTTTAAGGAGTTTAATCAACAACCAGAGAAGGACTTTAAGTGCTAAGGATGCTTTTGTAAGATCTCACAAAAGAGCTGAAAGCACAATCAGCAGAGATAGGACGTGCAGCTCTGACTTAACTTCTGGCAGGATATAATTGGTACAGCGGCCACAGAATCTGGACCCAATTGTGTAAATCCACTATGTGCTGTAATCAGCACTCTCTGCGGCTGAACACAACAGATAGTGATGCACTCTTCTGTGTTTAATTTAAACAACTGAAAACGACAAGAAACACAAAAGACACATGTGCACCCCGCCTCCACACACACAAAATGATTTCTGCGGCTTTTCATTCCTGCTTTGGGGAAGGGACCACACCCTTCCATAACTTGGGAGACATTCCTCTCCCGCTGAAGTGTCATGTGAAAACACCTCCTCTCCCAGGAGACAAGACAGGAGGCTTCTCTACGGTAAAAACACAACCCTGGTCTTCTTTACACTGGAGGTGGTGTAAACAAAGAGCAGTCCAGTTTCACCAGACACACACACACACACACATCAGCAGAGAAACAACAGGGTGTAGAGTTACAGAAAAGTCACCACTACAATCATCCCTGATCAGGTGGCATGTAGCAGTAAAGCTAGTGTAGCTTACACAGCACATCATATCAAATACAGGCTAAACAATAACAGCAGTGGGGGGTAGTACTAGTTCTAATGGTTTGTCAAGTCAATAAAGTTGAACTAATTAGGAACTGAATCCCACCTAGCTAGTGGGCAACAGCTAGCTTGAGGTGTGTCACATCAGGACAACCTGCCTAGCTCTGACATGTTAGTTAGGTGGTTGTATGAGCTAGCTAAACAGTCGTAAAACAGGCTAATTAGATTATAGTTAACTGGTGACATTTAGCTTTTAGCTGCGGCTAAAAAAAACAAACAAACAAACAAAAAAAACACACTCCCACACACGAGAATATGTAACAGCTACGCATGCAAACAACTCCTAAGCTAACGCTGACAACATTAATTCAAACTATTCCTCTGGCGAACACAGCACCGCTTGTTTATGGGCCCTCCCCTGCCGAGCACTTGACGGTTGGGCCTTACCTTCTCCCTGGGGCGGCGGTACTTGTGCGGCTGTTGGAACAGGCAGTGGTTCTTCACGAAGCCATTTTTACTCGCTTTCCTGCCGTTGGCGGTGCGGTGACAGGCGTCTCCGTTCAGCAGCTTGTTCGCGGAGCTTTCCGTCATCTTCGTCTGTGGGGAGGGGGGCTTGGCCGGGAGAGAGCGAGAGCGAGAGGGAGAAAGAAAAATAATTCACGGTTTGAAGTCGCTCAACTTGTGTAATGCTGGTCGTGAAGTCATGTATGAGAGCTGGGGAGAGGACGGATTTGACGCCCACTCTGCGCTCTGACCGCACACCGGCCTGCCGAGAAGCCCCGCCCCCCGAGCCACCTGATTGGCCAGCAGAAACTACAAATATGGAGATCGTCTATAAAAGCGGATGCTGCTTTCACACGTGTACAAATACACCTGCTGCTTTGCAACAACAAAAGAAGAAAAAAATAACACATCTGCAATTATTTGTATAATTGGCTAATTTGGCATATAAATATATAGGGTAACAATCCCCGCTTCCTCCATGATATTTTCCCTCCTGACCATTAGATATAGTACATTTTCATCTTAGGTCTCTTCTTGGACAATATTGACCTTACCACTGCTTAAATAGTATTCAAATCATTTTACTGGTCAGAGGAAATCAAAAGAAGTAGTTTTGAGGTAAGATGATTTAATAGTCTGACAGCAGAAAATAGGCCTCTGTGTTTTTATGATGTTGATGATGATGATGATGATTATTATTATTATTATTATTATACCTACTGTACCTATACAGACTTTTTCTTCACTGTTAACAGCAGACTCCGACGGATGGTCATCCATTAATTTAAACCAAAACCATTTCTTTGTGAAATATGTGAGAATGCAAAAGTAAGACGCCCCCGATGGATGATTTTAAATATTCTAGTCTTAGTAATGATAGATTTGTGGTAAATTCTGTTCACTGTTATCTAATGCAGTGGCATAATAGCGAACCAACAGTTGTTCTTTTTTAAAGTTAGTAACATTAGGTTACATTAGCCTGCTGTAACACCAGCTAAGTCTAATATGGCTTCCTTCACCCCTCTCTCAAACCATCTGTCTTCTCTGTCTAGAATGTGGACATTAATGTCCTCAAACGAGTGTCCCTTGAACTTGAGATGCAGCTGGCTTGCTGAGTCTTGTCCTGTGAAGCCAGATCTCCTGTTTTGAGCCATGTGCTGGCAAAGTCATTGTTTAGTCTCCCCTATATATAAATCTATTGCACTCTTTGCAGCATTGGACTGCATATACAACGTTGCTCAGCTTGTGTTTGGGTATTCTGTCCTTAGGCTGAACCAGTTTTTGTCTAAGAATGTTGCTAGGTCTAAAGTGTTGTGTTTGGGGAGAAGATTTGTTTACCCATGTATCATTCTCATATCTCAACCAGCGCCTGGGTGTTGAAAGAGCTCTTAAGTCATTTTTGTCTTATCTTAAACCCAATATATCTAACCAGTGAGTAACTGATAAACACGGTTTATTGTATCGAACCGGATGAATCACATTGGTTGACATCACTGAATGAAAATGATCACACTGGCCAAGTTTATCCAACAGATATAATAATCAACATGTCAAAATAGTCTATTTGTGGTTTTAAACACTTAAAACGGACATATCTGGGACATTTTCACTCCCTTTTCAGCTGCAAATGTCAACCATATATAGAAACAGCCCATTACTTTTTTTGAAAGCATAATTTAAGAAAAACTGGTTTAACACCAAGAAATCTTATCCGATCTAAGAATGCATTGAGAAAGGTTTATTCGCACGATAACGAAACATGAAATGTGACATAAATAATAAATGTGCCTTGTCCACACAGTACTCTGTCTAAACTGTGGATAGAACATAGTGTTCAGCTGGACCGTCATATCTCCTTAGTGGCTTTCATAAATGAACAAAGACTCTATATAAAACACTAATATTAATATTTTACTTACAGGCTATGTAAGTGAAAGAAACCAGTACATTTCAAACTATAGCTTGCGGTTAAAAAGCTGGAAAAGGTAGCAGTGTTCACATGTATTGGTATTTAAACCTTACGATTGATTGAACTTGACTTAACTAAAAGTATGCAGCATTGAAACAACAATATTTTGGAGCTGCGATGTTGCATATTGTAATCACTAACAACAAAAATGCCACGGGTTTGACATGTGACACACATGGATGACAGTTCAAACATGTAGTGGATTGACTAGTATGATGATATCTATGGTGCGTTCATGTAGGAGCAGTGTGAGAGCTCTTACTGTATTCTCCCTCTCTGCTGGGCGTCACCATCTCTTCAGCGTGGGATGAGGCTCTGTGTGGGAAGTGCTCAAGCCCAGCCCATGGAAATAATAAACCATCACAACCCTTGCTTGAACATGGGCTGAGTCGACTTTTCCAGTGACGCTGTCACTCACCTGAGCTGGGAAGATGCAAATCAAAGGTGAAGGCTATCTAAACAGGAAAAAAAAAAGAATTGTAAGTAGGCCGTGCTGGGCTGGGCCTCAGTTTGTCGCCTCCAAAACACTCCATCCAAACCATCAAATCATCCGCTCATGTGAAAATGTGTAAACAACAAATCTCTTACTTCAGTTGAAAAGAATAGATTTCGCAAATATATTTAATTGTGAGATTTTAAGAAACAGTCAGCATATTTAAACTATAACAAGGTCTATAAGCAAAAACAATTCTGAGCTCAACTGTAAATAGAGGATGATGCAGAAGGCCGGGGTACCACCGTTTTGACCTCTGCACATAAAGTCTTTAGATTTGTAGATTTATTGGGTGCTTTATGGAGGAAAAGTCACAAAGGGGGCCTGAAAAGTTCCTAAATCTGTCATAGGTGACAACAATAACAGCAAAACCTTATGCGAGGAGCCAGTGACACATAAAGTCACACCGATCGTAGCTGTGACTCTGATTGTGTTTATGCCAGCGGCCAGGCCAGAGGCTATGACAATGCTGGACTGGACAGTCACTGGATGGAGTGTCAGATGGTTAAAATTCCATGCCGAGGTTTCAGACAAGTGTCTCACCTCTTTCTCAAAGCTTTTGTGTTAAGCTGTGAAATATTTCCGTGGATTATGTGGCTATTTGAACTCCTCACAGATAATAAACAAACATATCTTATCACTGATGGGTTTGTTACAGTGTTAAACCAGTTAAACTATAACTTATGATGTCAGACCAACATGAACTTTTATCTACAGTAGTAAACCACTAGTGACAAACTTCCAGCAACATTCTGGCAGTGATGAGAAGTTCGTCACTACTTGCAAACAAGTTAACCGGTGATTTTCCACTGCAGTCAGCCTGATGTGCTAAACCTCTAGTAAGCTTCTGGTAACAAGTTTGGGATTTGCAATAATGTTACCGCAAATGTGCAGCAAAGGCCATATTTTCATATTCAAATTAGATCTGTGGCAAACTTGCAAGGAACCTCTGCATAGCTTTGTAGAAAACAGGTCGCAGGTTTGCCTCAAATTCATATTTTCTGTAGTTTTTATGACAGTAAAATTGCTGTTCTTGGTACTTTCACTGTGTCGCAGTGGTTTTGTCGACTCATAACAAGAAGGTTGTGAGTTTGACCTCTGCTTACATTGATTTACTCCTGAATCCTCCCAGAGTCTCAAGACATGAAAAATACTTTATTTATCCCAGAAGGGAAATTCAACAAGAAGGGAAATTCAACATGGATGGTAGTTTAAACAATGATGGTCAGAGATGTGAATGTAAGCATATATGATTGTCTGTGTTGGCCCTCTAAAGAACTGGTGACTAATCCAGGTCACCTGCTTCCCTACATTAAAATATTAAAATGCATTCATGTTATCTCTGCCTTTACACGCCTTCCAGGGCCTGCTGCTGAGAAGTTTCCCCACATAATGATGATGCCACCACCATGCTTCAAAGTGTGGATGGTGTGTTTGTAATAATGTACAGTGTTTGGTGTCAGCCAACTTAATTAAAAGAACCTTCTTTCAATTGACTTTAGAGTCTCTCACATGCTTTCTGGTGAATGCTCGACAACATAAACTTCATCTTATGGGAGCAAAATATCCAAAAATGCTTATTCTTTGACAATACAACACAAAAATCAATGTCATAGGAGCATCTTAATTCACTGAACGCATACTGTACAACGTATTAATAATCTTTTGTCTAGGATTTGTTCCAAGCTTCACCAAATTGTAATTGTTCCCTCTAAACTTTGTACATGGTTTCATTCCAATAAAAACATCTCACCAAAGATCTGAGAAAAACCGAAAACTCTCTTTCCTCTTCATTACTCTCTCATTAATCTTTCACGATTCTCCAGATGAGTATAAAACTAAATATATAAGTAGTTCAAATGAACTTTACCTGCAGCAACTACAACAGCAACATGCTGCTGACATACTTTTACTTAAACAAATAACCTGAATAGTTCTTTCACCACTTTGGGACAGGGAACTGTCAGTGTCGATAACTCAGCTACACAGATAAAGAGAAGATTTCTGCTGTGACAGAACACAAACAATAGAGTTTCCTGGAGTCACTGCCAGGGTTTTACGGTAGACGTTCAGGTTGTACTTCCTCTTCTCTTCCTGTTTGGTAAATGTGATCTGGTGAAACGTGCCGGTCAACACAAGCCCTGCTCTGTTTGAGTGTGTCTGAGATAAGCAGCGCTGAAGTTAAGCACACATTTGAGGCACTTGTTCTTTATTTGCGTATTTAATTTTTGTGCTGCTCCACTGCATCATTGTTTTACTTCACTACATTTATCTGACAAATAAAGATTTTTGCCCACAAAATATATGAAGAACTAAAAATATCCAGTTTTACATACAGGGATCATTTTTAGCTTTAAGACTGCTTTTTCTAATCTTTCATTTTTGGGGAGATATCGAATAATTTGAACATGTATTGAAATAAAACTAACTTTAGAGGGAAAAATCACTGCTTGGTGAAGCTGTTAACAACTCATAGACATCGGAAAATGTGAGTTTGACGACACACTGCTTTATATAAGAAGCCAAAAAGAGTATTAAGTACTGGTTTAGTCTTTAGCTATGTGTTTTTTTGTTTGTTTTATTAAACTGTTAGAGCATGCATTTTGTGAAAGCTGCGAGATAATAGAGAAGAAAACACATTTTGCTTTGAAAGGTTGTAGAGTAAAAGTATATAATAGCACAAAATGTAAATACTCAAATAAAGTGCATCAAATTATATTTAAGCACAGTACTTAAATTATATTATACATGTATAGGTATTAGTA